AAGACTTTAAAAAAAAAAAAAAAAAAAAAGAGGAAGAGGGATATTAGACTCCAGGAGGAAAATGTGACTCTAGGAGCAAAGAGTGACATGCCATGGCCACGTACTAAGGAATGCCAGCAGTCATCAGAAGGTGGAACACAAGATCGATCCTCAAAAAGCATATGTTTGCAAAGAGCAAATGTTTGCAAAATGATCATTTTTCAAAATAATAATGAACGGACTTGTGGACACAGGTGGGGAAGGAGAGGGTGGGGCAAACTGAGAGAGCAGCATTGATGTATATACAATCTTTGCGACTGTATCTGACTCTTTGTGACTCAATGGACTATTGCCCGCTAGGTTACTCTGTTCATGGGATTTTCCAGGCAAAAATGGAGTGGGTTGTCATGCCCTTCTCCAGAGAATCTTTCTGACCCAAGGGTTGAACATGTCTCTTGCATCTCCCGCATTGGCACTCAGGTTCTTTACCACTAGTACCACCTGGGAAACCCAATATATACACTGCTGCTGCTGCCGCTAAGTCGCTTTAGTCATGTCCGAGTCTGTGCGACCCCATAGACAGCAGCCCACCAGGCTCCCCCATCCTTGGGATTCTCCAGGCAAGAACACTGGAGTGGGTTGCCACTTCCTTCTCCAATGCATTAAAGTGAAAAGCAAAAGTGAAGTCGCTCAGTCGTGTCAGACTCTTAGCGACCCCATGGACTGCAGCCTACCAGGTTCCTCTGTCCATTGGATTTTCCAGGCAAGAATACTGGAGTGGGTTGCCATTGTCTTCTCCAAATATACACTACCATGTGTAAAATAGATAGCTAATATAACATAGGAAGCATAGTATAGCATATAAAATAGATAGCCTATATAGCAAAGGAAGTTTACCTCAGTGCTATGCAATGACCTAGAGGGGTGGGTTAGGGGAGGTTGGAGGGAAGCTCAAGATGGAGGGGATATATGTGTACATATAGCTGATTCACATTGTTGTACCACAGAAATGAACACAAAGTTTATACTCCAATTAAAAATTATACTCCAATTTTATATTGAAGTATATATACACCAATTAAAAATTAATGTTTTAAATGTGATTTTTGTTTTAAATCATTTATTGAAATAATTTACTATTTAGTATATGGCACACGTGTATTTATCTATGCAAATCCATGGTAAATTACGTGAGAGCAGGGATTATGTCAGTTTCAATTAGTTTTGCACAGAACTGTATTTAGGTGCTAAATCAATATTTATTGTTTTTATGTGAAAAACTGAAGGAAGAGGTTCACACAGAGCAAGTTCTGTGCTGTCAAAGCTCCCACTTTTACTGGCTATGATATGCAGGTAAATATGGCTCACCCAGTTCTTTCATATATTCTTCAAAATTTTCACAAGAAATGGATTTCCATGTTCCCTGGAACAGTTCAACCATTCTGCCTAAGTTGACTTTAAAGAAAAATTGCATCATATAAATAAGTATGTTCCCTGAAATATGTTGGAACATGTTCTCAATTCAATTCTGGTTGATAGTGTGGAAGAGTCAGAAAAAAAAAAAAAAAAGTACTCTAATCTTTGTCATTGTCCCATCAAACCACCCAAAGCAGGAAATTCAAGATGAAAATAGAACATGGTACAGATTTTAGCAGGACTAGATATAATTTTTATATCTCTAATTTAAGGTCAAAACTAATGTTACAAATTCTTTGTTTCCTTCCATAAGAACCACTACACACAGCAATGAGTGAGCCAAGTGCAGACTGAGGCAGCTGTGTCTTATGTCATAGGATGCCTAAACTCCAGGTCTTTTTCTCTCTTTCTCTGGTCGAGGATGATCTAGAAAAAAAACCAATGTCTTAACTGTTTAGAGAGCTTGTAACATTTTCATTTTTGATCAGTAGAGTTTAGTTCAATTCAGTCGCTCAGTCATGTCTGACTCTTTGCGACCCCATGGACTGCAGCATGCCAGGCCTCCCTGTCCATCACCAACTCCCAGAGTTTACCCAAACTCATGTCCATTGAGTCGGTGATGCCATCCAATCATCTCATCCTCTGTTGTCCCCTTCTCCTCCTGCCTTCAATCTTTCCCAGCATCAGGGTCTTTTCAAATGAATCAACTCTTTGCATCAGGTGGCCAAAGTATTGGAGTTTCAGCTTCGACATCAGTCTTTCTAATGAACATTCAGGACTGATTTCCTTTAGGATTGACTGGTTTGATCTCCTTGTAGTCCAAGGGACTCTCAAGAGTCTTCTCCAACACCACAGTTCAAAAGCATCAGTTCTTCAGTGCCCAGCTTTCTTTATAGTCCAACTCTCACATCTATACATGACCACTGGAGAAACCATAGCCTTGACTAGATGGACCTTTGTTGGCAAAGTAATGTCTTTGCTTTTTAACATGCTGTCTAGGTTGGTCACAACTTTCTTTCCAAGGAGTAAGTGTCTTTTAATTTCATGGCTGCAATCACCATCTGCAGTGATTTTCCAGCCCCCCAAAATAAAGTCAGCCACTATTTCCACTGTTTCCCCATCTATTGATACTTTGAACTAAAACCCAGAGAGACTCTATAGATGGCATTTGGACCAAAAAGTTAAGTTTAGTCAGGGCTTGGAACAATCATGTTAAGTCATGTACATATTGAGCAAGAGAATGGAACAGAAAGAAAAGGAAGGAAATACAACTATTACGAAGTCTTTCCAAGGAATATTCCAGTTGATGTAGGGTTGACTGGTTTGATCTTGTTTCTATGCAAGGGACTCTAAAGAGTCTTCTCCAGCCCCACAATTTGAAAGTGTCAGTTCTTCAACATTCAGTCTTCTTTACAATCCAACTCTCACATCCATGACTACTAGAATAACCATAGCTTTGGCTACACGGATCTTTGTCAACAAAGTAATGCCTCTGCCTTTTAATACACTATCTAGGTTTGTCATAGCTTTTCATCCAAGGAGCAAGCATCTTTTAATTTCATGGCTGCAGTCACTGTCTTACCACCCTGGGTGTAATTAAACCACTGCTCATTCAACCTGCATCCACACACTTAGCTGACCTCTTCGTAACTTATGTCCAGACTTCTTCTACTCCTTCAGTTGATCACAGGAGACCCACCCACAGTCCTAGGAATGATCTGAGGGGGTGCATGCTGATATTCAAGCAGAGGGGACATGGTCTGGGCTACCTGCTCACAGCTACCTCACGTCTCCTGGTCTTACCCAGCCTTGATCCCAGATGCACAACTTTGATTTTACTTGGGACTGCTGCTGGGCCTGCCTGAGTTTATGACTCTGTGGATCTGACAGAATCCAGCTCATAATGGACAGTTCCAGACACATGGTTACTTAGTATCCTCTAATCAAGAATTCCATCTATATTCAGTCCCTGTAACACCGCAAGAACTCTTTGCAAAAAGCATATAAGTTCTCATTGCAGATGGTGTGACCTTGTTCCCCAGTGTCAGAGGTCTGTGTTGTTTAGTTCCCACCCTGCTTTACCTACATGTTATGCTGGGTCTTTTCTCAACACTAACACCTCCAACAGCATAGGGTTTGCCAGATTATTTGACCCAAGTAGCAGAGTTGCTTGTACTGCAGCCCTGACTTCCTGCTTCAGGCCTCACTCAGAGCAGAGAGGTTCACTTGTTACCTAGTATCTGGGCTGGAACACGTTTCTGGATGTGGAGTCTATTTCCTTCTTTCAGGTAGAAAGGTAAGATGCAGCAGTTTGTCTTAGAGATGTCTTCACCTTCCCTTGACCCACCTGGATCACTAAACACTTTATAGCCCTAGAAGTTCCCTAGTTGTCACCCACTGTAACACTCATGCTTTGCCATGCCTGTGTCTTACCAGTGCCTCCAGCATGCGCACCACTTCTTGCTCACCCTCCTGATCAATGCGATGTTGTGGAGGATATCCAGACAACCCAGATCTTATCTGAATATATATGACGACAGAGGACAGAAGGTAATGAAGCCTCAAACAGACCTATATATGTATATAGTCTTCCATTTCATGTAAATGCAAGCAGTCTCTGATCTTTCCAGATTGGGAGAGAAAAAAGTGCCAAATCACGTGCATACTGTGTACCTGAGGCCGTATTCATCTGCTTTTGCAAAAATAACACATAGCACAGCAGTCACAATTGGGGCTGCTTTTTGAGCTTGCTGTGGCCTACAGTCATTCTCTGATTCATTTGGTTTCTGCAGGGACCAGACTGGTGAATTAAATGGAGCTATGATATGGACCTCTGTCCCCTGCATTCCAAATATTGTTTAGAGTAGCATTAATTTCTACCATTCCTCTTTATCACCACTTTCAAATGCAGTATTGTTAGATTCACCATCTTCGCCAGGATTGACCAGGGGTTGGGACAGAGAGGAGAATGAAGTGTAGAAGTACAGTTTCAAAAGATTCCATATTGCCTTCTCACTACAATAGCTGATTTGGTTGGAATGGGAAGAATTCAAGATAGAGGCTGCTCCAAAGGCCACCTATACCAGTTCCAATTATATAGTCAAGGACAGGGGAGGTAATCACTGGTTGGGTCCACAGACTTACTGGATACATTGAGAGCCAGAATGTTGGTTATTACCTGGCCCTGGTACACCTCCTCTCTAACATGCTGCTTTGGAACTCTGTGAATCAATGTTAATTCAGATCCACTATCCTTAAAATATTTGGATATCCCTCTTTTCTCAGAATGTATTTTCTCAGCGGAATTACAGTATATCTTTTTTGAGGAAAATGGGGGTAGTAAACACACGATATTTTCCCCGTGGCATTTTAAGATTCTTCCTCCTGTGGACTTGGTAACCTCTTTAGCCACTGTTTTATGGGTTTGAAAACTGGCTGAAGTTTGAGATCTGGGCAAAGCATCATTAATTTCTATTGGCATCATCACCCTCAGCCTGCTGCTCATCCATTCTTGTCTTTTGGTTGTATTGATTAAGCAGTATCCCCATTATTTATTCATCTATTTTGCCTCTCGGGGTGCCGGGGTGCCATGTTCTATTAAGTATCTCCACAGCTCCCTCCAGGTCAAGCCCTCTTAGCTACAACCCCCTGACTTCTGGCAGTAAGTGCTGCCACCCAGTCCCTATTGCTTTCCACTTCCCTATTGCTATCAATGAGCAAACTGACTGATTGATATGAAATTAGTATGGACACACATATAGCTATAAATGGAGAATACAATGTCACCCCACTCCAGTACTCTTGGCTGGAAAACCCCATGGACAGAGGAGCCTGGTAGGCTGCAGCCCATGCGGTCGCTAAGAGTCGGACACGACTGAGCAACTTCGCTTTCGCTTTTCACTTTCATGCATTGGAGAAGGAAATGGCAATCCACTCCAGTGTTCTTGCCTGGAGAATCCCAGGGACGGGGGAGCCTGGTGGGCTGCTGTCTATGGAGTCGCACAGAATCAGACACGACTAAAGCAACTTAGCAGTGGCAGGAGCAGCATAGCTATAAATATCTTTTTCTCTTTTTATAGAAAGGTATAATAACTATATTGATCCATACCAGAAGTACAGGTCTTTTCATTTTCCTGCAGAGAAGGAGAGATGAGGGCCCCACAATGTAAGAGTTGCCAGTGTTTTGGCATATTGAGTTATTTTACCTAAGCAATTTGAAGCGCATTGGAGCTGGACAAGGCGTTGTGCATACTCTGCAGAATCTGGCATGCTAGGAAAACTCAGGCTTCATTCAATTGCTGTTCATTCAATAAATCTTTGTTGCTCTTGTTTCTTTTATTTAGTCACTAAGTCGTGTCTGACTCTGCAACCTGATGGACTGCAGCAGGCCAGGCTCCTCTGTCCTTCACCATCTCCCAGAGTTTGCTCAAATTTATGTCCATTGAGTTGGTGATTCTATCTAATCATCTTACCCTCTGTCATCCCCTTCTCCTTTTGCCTTCAGTCTTTCCCAGCATCAGGATTTTTTTCCAATGAGGCACCTCAGTGGCCAAAGTATTGGAGCTTTTCAGCATCAGTCCTTGCAATGAATATTACAGGGTTGATTTCCTTTGGGGTCAACTGGTTTGATTTCCTTTCTGTCCGAAGGACTCTCAAAATAAACTTTTGAGTCCCTGTTAAATGAAAGACCCCAGTGCTGGGCATGGGGTGTATAATGGTGAATGAAAGAAATGTGCAAAATGTTTCAAACATTATGAAAGAGAATCTGAAATGATGTTAAATTTCTGAATGTTTCCATGTGGAGATCTATCTGTACAATATAAGCATGGAGAAACAATCCTTTTTTAGAGCAGGGATTGGCAAGCTATGATCTATCTCCTAAATCCAGCCACCACCTATAGGTAAAGATTTATTAGAACACAGCCACACTTATTATCTGTGGCTTCTTTCAGGCTACAGTAGAAGAACGGGGTAGTTGGGACAGATACCACATGGCTTGCAAAGCCTCCAATATTTATTGTCTGGCCCTTTACAGAAAAAGGCTTGCCAATTCCCATTTTAGAGTCTTGTATGTCTCTATGTGTTAGCTGCTCAGTCATGTCCAGCTCATTGCAACGCCATGGACAGTTGCCCATCAGGCTCCTTTGTCCATTGAATTCTAGAATACTAGAGAGGGAATTTCCTCTTCCAGGGAATCTTTGCCACCCAGGGATCCTCCCGCATTGTAGGCATATTCTTTACCATCTGAGTCACCAGGGAAGCCCTTTAGAATCTTAGATCTGACTTAAAGTGATATTTAAAACTCGAGATCACAACAATTACTGTGTTTGTAGGCTTTCTTTGGGCTTCCCTTGTGGTTCAGCTGGTAAAGAATCTGACTGCAGTGCGGGAGACCTGGGGTTGATCCTGGGTTGGAGAGATCCCCTGGAGAAGGAAACAGTTACCCACTCCAGTATTCTGGCCTGAAGAATTCAGACTATAGAATCCATGGGGTCTCAAAGAGTTGGACATGACTGAGAGAATTTCACTTTTTAGAATCAAACCTCATATGCATCAGAGATGCTCAGAGGACTCAAACAAAATTTTGTGCACACCAGAACCAAGAGACCCAACAGAGAATGAGCCAGAACTGTGTTTGAGCGTCTCCTGTGGAGGTACTGATCTGCAGTGGCCTGCAACTGGGACAGAAGCTCTGCGTGCAGGAGACCTGGTCACACAGCCTGTGGCATAAGCCATCTTGGAGGAGGTCACCTTTAACCCCACCATAGAGCTGCCCAGCAGACGACCCACAAACTGCAGAACAATTATACCAAAGAAATTCCCTCACTGTTAAGAAAGTTCTAGGACCCACAACAGATTTCCCAACCTGGGGATCTGGCAAAGGGACTGAGAACCTCCAGGGAATTTGACTTTGGAGGCCAGTGGGATTTGATTACAGAACTTACACAGAACTGGGGAAACAGACTATTGGAGGGCACAAACAAAACCTGTGTGCATCAGGACTGAGGAGAAAGGAGCAGTGACCCCACAAGGGACTGACCCAGACTTGCCTCTGAGTGTCTAGGAATCTTCGTTGGAGGCATGGGTCAGCGGTGGCCTGAGACAGGGTCAGGACACTGAGTGCAGAAGCGCCTGCACCAGGCCTTTTGAAGGAGGCGCATTATTTTCATTACCTCCACCATAGTTGGGGCTTCCCTGATAGCTCAGTTGGTAAAGAATCCACCTGCAGTGCAGGAGACCCCAGTTTGATTCCTGAGTCAGGAAGACCCACTGGAGAAGGGATAGGCTACCCACTCCAGTATTCCTGGGCTTCCCTGGTGGCTCAACTGGTAAAGAATTTGCCTGCAATGCGAAGACCTGGGTTTGATCCCTGGGTTGGGAAGATCCCCTGGAGAAGGGCAAAACTATTCACTCCAGTATTCTGGCCTGGAGAATTCCATGCACTGTATATAATCCATGGGGTTGCAAAGAATCGGACAGGACTGAGCGATTTTCACTTTCACTTTTCACTTTTCACCATAGTTTGGCCTCGATTCAAACAACAGGGAGGGAACACAGCCCCAACCATCAACAGAAAATTGGATTAAAGATTTACTGAGCATGGCCCTGCCCATCAGAATAAGACCCAGTTTCCCCCACAGTCAGTCTCTCTCAACAGGAACCTTCCATAAGCCTCTTATCCTTATCCATCAGAGGGCAGACAGAATGAAAAACACAATCACAGAAAACTAATCAAACTGACCACATGGACCACAGCCTTGTCTAACTCAGTGAAACTATGAGCCATGCTGTGTAGGGTCATCTAAGATGGATGGGTCATGGTGGAGAGTTCTGACAAAACATGGTCCACTGGAGCAAGGAATGGCAAACAAT